TCGTCTGAGGTCTAGGGAGTTCAGTCCAGCCTGGGCAACCATAGAGCAAGAGCCTTTGTCTTTCTTAAATGAAATAAAAATAAAAGCTTTTACCCTTTAGAGACTAAAAAGATAATGTGAAAAAAAAAAAGAACATAAACTAAGGGAGACCACTAGTAACAATCAGAAAGTGTAGTACTACTATAAGACATATTGCAGGCCGGGTGCAGTGGCTCACGCCTGCATTCCCACCACTTTTGGGAGGCCGGAGGGCAGGTGGATCACCTGGAGCGTCAGGATTCGAGACCAGCCTGACCAACATGGTGAAAACCCGTCTCTACTAAAAATACAAAAATTAGCCAGGCGTGGGTGGCGTGTGCCTGTAATTCTCAGCTATTTGGAGGCTTGGAGGAGGGAATCGCTTTGCAAACCCGGAGCCAGAGGTTGTATGAGTCAGAGATTTGCGCTATTAGCTATTGCACTCCAGCTTGGGCAACAATAGTGAAACTATGTCTCAAAAAAAAAAAAGGACATATTGCAATTGAAACAAACACATCAGATGCTAATCTCTAGCATATGAGACATTTGAATCGCACAGATTAAAACTAAATGCTATTAACTGGCAAAAAGACTCTGATTAAAGGTTGGACCTGGCTGGGCGTGGTGGTTCACGTCTATAATCCCACCACTTTGGGAGGCTGAGGTGGGTGGCTCACCTGAGGTCAGGAGTTCAAAACCAGCCTGGCCAGCATGGTGAAACCCCATCTCTACTAAAAACACAAAATTAACCAGGCATGGTGGCGCATGCCTGTAATCTTAGGTGCTCGGGAGGCTGAGGCAGGAAAATTGCATGAACCTGGGAGATGGAGGTTGCAGTGAGCCAGGATCGCACCATTGCACTCCAGCCTGGAAAACAACAGCGAAACTCCATCTCAAAAAAAAATAAAGGGTGGACATGAAGTTTTTGTTTGTTTGCTTCTAGCAAACAAGACTTGAGCTAAAATAATGAAAGTTGGAAAACAGTACAGGCCAGGCGCAGTGGCTCACACCTGTAATCCCACCATTTTGGGAGGCTAAGGCAGGCGGATCACCTGAGAACGGAGGTTTGAGAACAGCCTGACCAACATGGAGAAACCCTGTCTCTACTAAAAATGCAAAAAACTAGCCGGGCGTGGTGGCGCATGCCTGTAATCCCAGCTACTCGGGAGGCTGTAGCAGGAGAATCACTTGAACCTGGGAGGGAGGTTGCGGTGGAGCTGAGATCGCGCCATTGCACTCCAGCCTGGGCAACAAAGGCAAAACTCTGTCTCAAAAAACAAAAAAACAAAACAAAACAAAAATAGCACAGAAGAGAAACCCTCCTGTGAAAATAAATCAAATTTGGTTGTCTGCAATTTATAACATAACAAAATAGACAGCAGAGTAGAGAAACTATACCAGAAGCTCTGAGTTAGAGTTAATATTTGTGCTCTTCTAATACATAAGCATGCAGAGATATTAAAATTTGTCAACTAGCACAAAGAAAAACTTAAACATTTTCTCAATCACTAAAAACTTGTGAGAGAAATACTGTTTTACTTAACATTTCTTTTTTTTTTAAGGTCATTGATTTCTTGACAACTTGAAAATAAGCAAAGTCTCTTACTTTCTGCAGACAGGGGTGTGTTTGGGTAAAGTTCATGCTGTCTTTTTCACACCTATCAAATACAACAAATTTCATAATTAGGGGCCAAGAATAGAAAAATAGAAACCAGACAGAATGCTATAGACTGGTTCCCTCTTCAAACATCATCATATTTGCCTCTTGGAAAGAATTTGATGTTTTAAAATGTAGTTTGTTTTTTTTTGTTTTTTTTTTGAGACAGAGTCTCACTCTGTTGCCCAGGCTGGAGTGCAGTGGCTTGATCTTGGGCCTCACTGCAAACTTCCGCCTTTCCAGGTTCAAGCGATTTCTTCCTGCCTCTGCCTTCCAAGTAGCTGGGACTACCAGGTGCCCGTCACCATGCCCGGGCCTAATTTTTGTATTTTCAGTAGAGATTGGAGGTTTTAACCATATATGGCCAGGACTGGCGTTCCTTCGA